AAGGACACTGGACACAGGACATGGGACACGGGACACGGGACACACGGTGGAAGATGAATGCCAACGCACGGTAGAGACGAGAAATAACATAAACACAAGAGACAGACCAGACAGAAACAAGGAGAACATGCCCCCTAAAGTATGAAATTCGCATAATTTTCGAGACCGATCTCAGTGGCATGACAGAGCCAGATAATCATTTAATGCCCTCCGAGCGGAACGCCCCTGGATGAAAACTGGTACGAGAGCTAATAACGTTGCGCCGCGATCCACCGATCCAGCGATCCAGCTACGAGTGTGTCCAGATCCAGCAGATCCAGCTTCGGATCGAAAATGGGAACTCTGGGCAATGAGGATTGGGATTCGGAATGGGAATGGGACTGAGACTGGATGATTGGGGGACTGAGTAGCGAGGATTGAGAACTGAGAACTGTGGACTGAGAAGTGTGGTAACTGGGAACTGGGCCTTTTGACTCCACTCGACTTGACGCTACCCTTGACTTTTTCGGCTTGTGTTTTTTTTTTTTTTTTTGCCTTGCCGACATCGTCTGCCGCCCATTTGTATTTACCTTATTCGCTGGCGTTTTTCCTCGTTTTTTTCTCGTTTTTATTTCAGCTTTTTCGGATTGACAGCTCTCGAGTGACTCTCGCAAGTGTTTTTGGCTTCGGGTTTGAGTTTGAGGTACGGGTTCGGGTTCGGGCGACACAATGCACCTTCTTCCTCACCTGCAGCATGATAAAAGCACCACCATATATGGCCGCACATACACTGTATACTCCATACTCCATGCTGAATACCATCCATGCCGGCTCCTTTGCGGCCTCGGTTCGGATTGGAGGAGGCGACGAACTATTTCTCCCGTTAACATGTTCACTTCTCAAGTGTTTCCTTTGTGAATCGCTGACTTGGCTGACTGACTGGCTGACTGACTGTCTGCCAGTATGAGGCCTGGTCGCTCGACTCAGCTCAGCTCAGCTCAGTTCAGCTAAACTCGGCTCGCCGGCCAGCCGGCAAAACTACTGACACCGCCATGACGGCTGCCTTTCAAAAACAAAAAAAACCTGGCAGAAACCCAAAAAAAAAAAAAAAACAAACGCGCACAGGCCAATGCCAGGTCCCCAATTGCAGTCCCATTTCCAGACCCTGTCCTGGTCGCTTTTCCCCCGAAAGCCTGAAAGCCTCGCGGCCAGTGTTGACAAAAGAGTTGGAAGTCAGACGTGAGCTGATAATGAAATGGTATCATTATGTTTGATGGGATTAAACTCTTGGCTAGCACGCAAAATACACACAATAAAAAACATAATATTTATATATATAGGATCCCCTGTTGAGCCTCGTAGAATGTTTCTTTCTATATGGAGTAATTGAAATTCAATTAAAATCCCATCATGCAAGAGATGAGCCAGCAAACCGGAAACGGATGTTCAACAAATTTCCATGGGCATTTAAGGACCTGCCACATTCCAAAAGTGTAACTAACTGACAACGAACTTAAAGGACATATTCTTAATATGCTGATTGTGGCCGAAAGCCCGCCAGATTTGCCACACTCCTGACATAGAACATATTATTGTGATTTATACCGGGTTGTCATTCCGCTGACAAAGTCAAGTCGTTCGCCGCCGAGCTTCTTCAGCTCGTTGGTTCGCTTTGGCTTGGCACGAATCAACTGCTAATGGGTTCCCTGATCACTTGCAACAGCACCGGCTATATAATAATAAAACGACAGGGTGACAGGGACGGTTCACCAAAGGGTTAATGCCGAATCTCAAAAGGCCTTAATGAAAAGTTCAGCTGATTTGACGTCCCACTCGAGAAATCGCTCGCCTGGCGCATTCAAGTCAAAGTCACCATTGCCATGTCCGTCGATTCGACTGCGACTGCGACTGAGACTATATATACTATACCCCATATATACTTAAACGCCAAAAGCGGAGGAGAAACGACAAAAAGTCAACCTGGTCGAACGCGAAGTCGAATCCGTGGCACGACAACACGACATCGTTTTGTACGTCACTCAAAACGTTCGTGGGCTGTCAGGGAGACAGTTCAAAAATGAAATATGTATATACTCGTACACATTATAACAAATTCTAAAACGAAAGACACAAGCATGCACTCGGCGAGGAAAGTCTGCTAGTCAGACAGCCAGTCGAAGTCATTGATTGAGCATTGACGTTCGCCCTGCAAACAACAAGCATATCAAACAGCACCATACTCACTGCTTGATGTCACAATGTTCCTACGTATTTTCCAATTCCATTTTAATAGACCCTCTTATTGTAGAGTATTGCCCAGTGAATCCAATGCTCACAAAGCTTGCCATCTGAACTCTAGGCAACTTCTAGTATTTTTGCAAGCGTTGAATGACTTGAAATCAACTAGCAGATCCTAAAGCTGCGGCCTCAATCTAATAGCATTTTTGTGTCATTGTTGCTCTAATCTTAGAATCTTAGAATTTTTTTTTTTTTTGTGGTATTCATTTGAGCCATATTGAGTTTCTTTCTGTGTAGCCACATATGTATATGGAGTAGATCTGACCCGGCCGAATCGTAAACCAAGTTCGATGCCTACACCCATACCCAGCGTATTTCAAAAAGGGGGGTCCGGCACTCGAGAGCCGGCGATGGTGACGTTGCCGTTCCTTGTGCTGAAATGCTGAAATGATGACACGATGACACGGACAGCGAAACGAACACGGACATGGATTCAGAGACAGACGCGAAAGCGGAGGACAGGCGTTTCTGTCCAGACGGAGCCGGAAAGTCGGAGTTGAAGTCGAAATCGAAATCGAAATCCAAGTGTCATTGTCATCGTCGTACATTTTGATTTTATTATTGATTCAATTACAATGTCAACGGGGCAGCAATAGTCGTGCCGGGCGGAAGGATCAAGAACGAGACGTTTCGCTCTGGTCAAGGATAATGTCACCAGTAAGGGAAAATACAAGGCACCACCGGACACATGAAATATTCAGTTCATTAATCAATCAATACTTCAGCGACCCAACCAAGTGGTCATACCCTCTGTATATATTTTTTGCTCTAAACTAAGCGAATGTTATGTTTGCGTGATTTTAATTTGGGGTTGTTGTCTGCTCGTGACAAATTCAACAATTGTTATACCCGTTACTCGTAGAGTAAGAGGGTATACTAGATTCGTTGAAAAGTATGAAACAGGCAAAAGGAAGCGTTTCCGACCAAATAAAGTATATTTTTGATCAGAATCAATTGCCGAGTCAAACTGGTCATGTCTACATCATGATGATGTAGAAATTCATAACTCAACTTATCTTAATCGCTTAATCAACTTATCTGGCGCAATTCTCTAAAAATCTGCATTCAAATTTATTTGTAATGTATTTTTTTTTCAACCATAAAAGTATAAAGTATATAAAGTATAGCCGAGCCGAACCGTCCGTCCGTCCGGCTGTCCGTCCGTCCGTATAAACGTCTCGATCTCAGGAACTATAAAAGCTGGAATGTTGAGATTAAGCATGCAGCTTCCAGAGACATCGACGCAGCGCAAGTTTGTTTCCGAATGTTGCCACGCCCACTCTAATGTGGGCTGCAAAAATACATGTAAGCCTAGATGATGCAATGAATACACTGTTATCAGACTATTGCGTTATATATTCAAAGCGAGTTGATTTGCCTGGTTGACATGGGCCGCTGTCACTAGTATAATACGTGTACGAAGCTGATAATTGCGCTAATAGGTTGACCCAATACTTGCGCAGTTAAAACTGTTAACTGTCCAAGACTTAAGTAAAGTAAAGACGATAGATAAATAAATGCAAGCCGATGTACAGAATACCCTGCCATCTCTTACAACCAAGAAAAAGAACAAATCGGAAGAAAATAATAGTTTGATGCAACAATATAAACAAAATGCATGATCTAGTCTTCCGAAGAGACATATATCAGATGCTATTTTGTTTACGTACTTTGAGGGTATATACAAAGTGCACATATTCATGGGCACTGGTTTTCTCTTTACAAACACACAATGGCCATAACTGACGATAACACCTAAATGGTAATGCTAATAAGCCGTTTAAATTTGACTTCTTCTTTTTTCATTGTAAGTGTTGTTGCTGCCGGTGCTAATGACAATAAAATGATTAGCTTGTTTAATTGGTTTTCATTTTTCGCCTTTGTGTCATACGCAGACATGCTGTATGTGAAACACTCTACATTGGAGATGATTTCAAATATATGTTTCATTTCTGAAATTGAACTGTGCTAAGAATATAAGCTCATGGGCAAAAGTAACTCCTGTCTATTTTAACTCATTAAAATTTAATCACTTATACGCCTAGTACACCTAGTACGCCTAGAATACAATTTTTATGGCTTAAAATTTGGTTCTTATCCAGCATTTTCTTTGATTTGGCAGCACTGCATCTATAGTTGGTATAGGATTTTGGTGCATATACACATGGCTACTTGTTTGTGCAGTAGACAACTGTGTATCCTATAAAAATGGGTATTGCAATGGATATTAAATGAGGTTTGCTGTAAAGTAAAATATAAATCAAAGACATCTTAAAGTCAACTGTTTTCATGATTCAATCGTAAATGCATTTAATTATGAACACACAAAAAAACCGAGAAGTGAGTACATTAGTCGACTTTACAACTTTTGTGTGCTCAATCACTTGGCACATTTTTCGTACCTTTTTAGAAAAGACTCGGATTAAATTTTATGGTCGTTTATTATATTTTGTCATTTGATTTAAATTAACACAATTTTCGTGGCACTGGCGGTGGGGTGGGGCTGAAGCATACAAATATTGTTGACTCCAACATTGCGGCAATCCCGAAGAGATTTGGTTTTTGGCATCGATGTGTGAAATGTGTCGAATTGTTGATGTGTGCCCAAGAATTTGACATTTTGACGGACGTGTTGGCATAAATCATTAAAACTTGTTGTTAGATCGTGATCGGCTATAGCTAACCACTCGTTTCTCATCGCCTTCCTCTCATTTTTCTTTCAGATCTGCCGTGGAGCTCCATACTCCGATCTATACCAAGCCGAAGACTTATATATTTATATACACATATATAAATATATCCATATACAACGCACTTCAGGAAGTCGGTCCACGGCCACATGAAGACGTAAGTTGCAGTATACGAGTAGATGATATTCGCTTTCCTCGACTTCCTCATACCGGTCACTTTTAGGCCATTATTTCGACAATGTCTCGGCAGACTAATTTGTATATCTCTATCGCCCCGACAAGATGACTCCAGATTTGCTTTAGATACGGACCGGGCACAATAGAGTCACAAAGCTATTAAAAACTGATATAAATCTCATTAAATGCGATGCTTGTAGCAGATGAACAAAGCCGCCGCCGCCTCGGTTTCAGCCTCGGTTTTTATCATCAGTTTTTAGCTTTAGTTTTTTTTTATTTTATTTTTTTAAGTTTTTTTTTTTTATTTTAGCCTCGATGGTTATGGCCACAGTTTTGTGGCCCCAGCCTCAAACCTCCTTGCCTTTCCTTTCCTTCAATCAATCGTTGATTTTGCTCCCGGCTACAAACAAGAATGGCTTTTGTGGTTTACTTGAGATCAGTTCGGCGTACTTTTGGTAGAGGCTCTTTTAACCAAAAATGCCACGGCCAAGCCTATGAGATGGCTGAATAGCCTGTGCCAACTTGGCTGAATGGTCCGCATTTCAAGTCGCAGTTTGGACATCATCTTGGTGACGCCCCAAAAACCGATAAGTAAATACAAAAAAAAACTGAACACAAAAAACCCGGCAGATCACTAGTGTCCCTTGAACGCTAAGAGATCTGAAAATAATACTCCATTGCTGGAAGGCAAGCATATTTTGCTTCATTCACTAACTTGAGGGGGAAAATATCATTTTGAAAGTTAAAGGGTAACGCATTTTGAAACTTTTGAATTGGAGGGCGCTTCTTCAGCCTTTTAAATTTAAAGACCTGAAATTTTTGTCACATTAAAAAGGCTTGCGCCTGTCAACCCCAACTTTAGCTTGAATTCGCTAACTTTAACTGAAAACCACTGGTCCTTCCACTTAAACGCTCTCATTTCTTTACAAAACAAAAAAAGGTATAAAAGCAGATGCTGCCTCAGAAAACCCCAATAGATCCAGTAGCCCCAACATCACACTTTCCATTCGATGATGTTGATGCGGCTTCGTGTTTGCGCTTCAGGGCTTACCGACCTATCCACTTAAAACACAGTCTAAGCCCCGGATTACGACCATTCTGGCAGACTGAATCAGGTCGAGGATACGGGGAGCCAGATCCGGGGCGCATTCAGAGCGGACCCCTGCCAGGCGACCCAAACCCAAACATCACGTCTGATCGGCAGCGACAGTCGGCCGAGGTTCCAAGTAGCGCCAGAGCATGCACCGAAAGAAAATAGTAGGTGGATTTCAATTACCTTAGAAGTGCATGCGAAATGCAGTCGCTACAATCCATTTTCCGAGTTATTAGCAGTGATGTTCGGTATCAAAAGCAAATTGCACGCACTAAACTATACTTAACTTGGTTTGTTCAATGCACAAATAATGTCTTCTTTCCTTCTGTGTAGGCGATAGTCAGTGAATTTCTCTTCCTGGTTCAATTTTTATAGTTCAGTTGCTTCGCTTAAAGAAACCTTTTCTGTGAGTGTACTTTAGATTTCGGTTTCTCACCTGCCCGACGAGCAGAAAGTTTCTGTTCTTATTCGCTAATTCCATAATAGAAAGGAAAGTAAGCCTTATAACAAGCAATATATTTCTGTACAAATCACAAAATAGTTTTGATTATGAAATACTTAGAAACTGCATTATTTGTAAACAACTATGCGTTTAGACGAACGCAAGTGTTGATACAATAAAAGACGAACAAGCCACTAATTACAAGAATTTAAGTGTTATCGCTCATAATTTCATGAAAATAAATATTTTCTCTGCACGAACGCCGCATTTGTCGCCCAATCACAGTCGCAGCACCAATAGCGAACCCCAGTATCCCTGATTTAGGTCCGGGATCCATGTTCATGTTCGTGTCCTGCCATTGAACACCGCTCGATGTTGGCGCTCCTCTCCTTGTGAATTTTTACCGACGGTGCAGCCCAGCGGCTTTCGTCAACGATCCCGCAGGGGATTTGCATACGAACAGAACAAAAAGCGCAGGAAAAACAAAAAACACCAAAAAAAAAAAAAAAAAAAAAAATACTAAATAAAATAAAAACGAGAACAGAGAACAGAGAAGTAGTAAGTTTATGTTGGAATCACTTTGTTAAGCCCTGTTCGGCAGCAGTCGGGGCGATTCAGAGGCGTTCATAATCAGAACTGAAGTGGTGCCATGGGTTCGAATTGGGATTGGGGTTTCAGTCTTCGGGTTTAATGGGCGGCTTGGTGGGGGGATACTACTGGAGATCTGGACAAAAAATATCAAAAGGGGCAGGCGGTTGGTTGGCTTTAACATCGGCTTTGACAGAGAAGGCAACTTGCCAAACATATCTCATGTGCGGCAAGCCGTGTTGACACTTTTAATGTGTTTCATAAATACATTTTTACAAAATAGAGTCGCGGGGAATGGGGACTCGGGCTGCTTTGTTGGATCTTATGGGATCGGATTGGATCTGTGAGAACGATCGCCTTGGATCGGCTTTTTCGTGTTTAATGGTTGACATTTCAGAAAAAAAAAAAAAATAATAAGAAAAAACGTTCTGTTGTTCGACTTTAACACGCATTTATGACCGCCGCTGCTTTATGACTTTGGAAATGCGTTAAGAAAATGTTCCTTATGACGGCTGCCGCCGCCGATTCTATGCGATAAAGCCAATAATAATCATGATTGGTGTCTGGAATGCCATTTTTCTTCTCCTTTGTTCGTTTCGGTGGATACGCAGAGTGAACAGCTCGCAGCTCGCAGCTCGCAGCTCGCAGCTTAGCGGCAATTTTGTTATGAGACGAAAATGAGTTTCATGTGAAATACGAAATTAAAAGGAGTTCTCATCTCGGACAGATTCTCGTCTGTCTTCTTGCAAGAGCTTCATAAATGTCGATGAAACCTTCGGATACAAATTGCCCAACAGCATCGATCGGTGCTAACAAACATATGATTGCCGTATTTGGGTGAGCTGCATTTTTTTTTTTTTATGTTAGGCATCCGTCACAAATTTGGCTTATAAATCTCACTTAAACACATTTTCGAGCAACCATCTAAAAATAACATTTAAATAAGGTTCCATTTAAGTCCGTCATCCATTTAAAAAAATAGAATACAGTTGAATTTTTGGACGAGCACATGTATTCTAGTTGGAAAACATATCTTTCTTTATCTGATGCACTGTAATACAATACAATGTAACTGAAAAAGATCCAACTACTTGGGACTATGAACCCCAATATAGTCAGAATTATAGAAGCTTCAATAATTCTCGGTGCAAACTGTCACTTTTATGCACTCAGTACCCAGAGCAGATGGGTTCAGATACACACAACTCGCACACTATGTAGTATGCCGATGGAAAACTGGTTTGGTCAGAACTGAGAACGCTCAGATTCGGAACGTGTCAAATCACAAATATAGAAGGCAAAATAGGTAAGAAAAAATATCAAATTAAATATCAACTGAAAGCAATTAAAAGCTGCCGCGTCGTCGTGCATCTCCGGTTCTAAATGCCGGTAAAAAGTCCCCTACACAGAGATCCGAACAGAAACGTAATCGTAATAAATGTCGTTACAACAGCAGCCCGAACAGGTGGCAATTAAAAAACAATTTGTATACCATTTAAATGACTTGCCAAGATGACATATATCATGCAAAAGTTCCCCAATGCCAAATGGCACTGTCCGAAGGCAGGCGAGAGATTAAAAAAAAAATAATAATAATAGCAGCGAAAGTTTCCATAGCTGCAGTTTTTGATACACATTTAATCGTACAATTTGTCATTTGCCATACATACATATATCATTGCATGTCGCCCTAGGGTATTTGTTATGTCTACTGTTTTTTAATGGGATTTATTTGTTGAATGTGTATATAATATATCAAAGATATCAAAGAAAAAAAAATGCAATCATTTTTTGAATGAGAAGGAAGCGTTTAAGAAGTTCCCTTCTATTAGTTCATGTACGAATTAGCAAAAACTGGATTCTGTTTGTGTTTTGGAGAAGGATTTGGATTTGCGCGCATGCAGGCTGAACCTTCTTTTTGAATACTCGTATTTAAGTATTCGTCGCAATCGGCACGGCACTCATCGCATGGGATCATCAAGAGGTCGCGCGTAATGACGAACGCGATCGCTCGGCCTCGATCTTCATCTTGATGTGGAAGTGGAAGTGGCAGTGGTGTTGGGTTGAGTTCAGTTGAGTTGAGTACCACGATCACAGCCCTATCGATTTGAATTCGTTTTCGGGAACTCCGATCTAGTCGGGTCGCCTCAGATTGTATCGGTTCGTATCGGTTCGCATCGTATCGTGTCGTATCGGATCGTATAGTATCGTATCGGTTCGAAGATCGCCAGTCTGGAGTCTTCAGTCTTCAGCTCTTGTGTGGTGTGGTGATGCCGGCACAGAAGAATGTGACATGGGCACTTCAAGTGGCCGTAGACGACAGCGCGAAGAGCGTCTTCTGCACACACTATCGCATTGTCATGTCACGCCGGCTCTCCATGTGTGTGTATATATGTGTGCGTGTGTGTGTGTGTGTGTGTGTGTGTGTGTGTGTGTGTCTACAAGTGTCCCCCTGTCCCCTGTCCCTCTGCCATGCGACGACTCTTCAGCTCCCTCGCCATCCCTCCTTCTAAAGACGTGAAGTGACCACTCAGAATTTGTCACATCATTATTCTTATTTTTATTTTCAATAATCATCTGTACTCGTGTATGCACGGTGTGGTTGTGGATGATGTGTGGTGTCTGGGAGGTCCGCTGGTATGACGGCATGATGGCTTGATGGCATGATGGTCCGTGGTCCCTGGTCCGTGGTCCGCACCATCGAGTTGTGGCCACTTCGTTAGGCGGTTTCGGTGGAAACTCCTTGACAATGTTTGAGATGGTGGAAGATACGTGGCTGCGAGGCGCTCAGACACGCTGCTCCCCAGATCGCTTAAATGCCACACACTTGGTCACCGCAAAGTCGGGCGAAATTAATTCAAATTATAATACCCGAGGTACTGGCAGAGTATTTGTATACCCGTACATAAGTATACACGTTGTGACACTCGGCTTTCGCCAGACTTTTAAGCAGAAGATAGCTATTGCTGGCAGCAAATAAGAATACAAAAGTGTCATTGAATAAATAAATAATAAAAAGACTTCAGTACCTTGAAGTAAAAAAAATGATTGATTAGACAAATACATTGAAACGCTTCTACTATCAGGAATTGGTATTTTAGCACTGCTTTCGTTGGGTTTTAATTGTGTTTCTTGGTGGGGACTACATAGAGTTAAATATGTATTTTTTTGAGATTTCGATAATTGTAACATTATTATTAACAATCTGCATTTTCCTCCACTTGCAGCGAATCGACAGAAGTCCATAGCACAGCGCACCCAACTACTGGAAACCTAAATGCCGCATCTAGTCCAATGTATCGTCAAAAGTCTACAGATTAATTGTTGTTCCTAAGCCGCCGCTTGATGAATATTGGCCACGAGAAGCACTCGCCGCACTTTCATCCGCATCCGCAACCGCAACCGCATCCGCATCCTCGCGCCGCCGCCACTGAAGTTCATCGTTTGGCCGCCGGCGGCTCGGTTAGTCCGCCACCGCCTCCATCGACGTCTACGTCGGCATCGTTGTTGTACCACCTGCCCGCCACTGTATCCGCCTCCTATCGCCACGCACTGCAAGGTCATGAGAGGCAACAGAGCCAGCATCACCTCCCCTACCAGCACCACCACCGCTATCATCAGCACCACCCACATTTGCCAACCGGTGGAGGGAACGTGCACCTAAGCCGCGAATCCTCACCCGCTTCAATGGTGATGACCCCCAGCCGCCGCAGTTCGCCGCCCCTGCCGCCGCTGCCCTTGACGACGCACCCCATCCACCAGCACCAGCACTCGCATCCGCATTCGCATTCGCATCTGCATCCGCATCCGCATCCGCTGCCACTGGCGCTGCCCTTGCGCCATCCCCTCGCCCTGAATGCGAACGCGGGCGGTCACCAGTCGCCGTCCCGCTCCTCCGGCAGCATCCAGCAGACATCGTCGGCGCAATCGATGAGCGTCCACTTCTCGCAGCTGGCCCACGCCCAGCTGCATTTGCAGAATCAATTGCAGCAGAAGCTAACGGCGGCGGCCAGTAGGAATAATAGCAACAATAATAATAACAATAGTAGCAGCACCGGCTCGGGCACTGGAACGGGCAACAGTACGCCCACGCACGAGCCGAGTGCCATGAATCCGCTGAGTGATTTGCAGAACATGCAACCGTTTGACTTTCGGAAAATCAGCTCGGCGGCGGCGCTGGGCGCATTTGGTGGTCCCTTGCCGCTGCCGCAGAGTCCCACGGAGTTCGGACAACACCATCACCACAGTCAGCAGCAGCAGCAGCAGCAGCAGCACCAGCATCACCTGCATCGGAACCAGTTCTTCAATGCAATGGCCATGGCCTATCACCTGCCGCCGCCACCGCCACCACCGCCGCCCGATTCCAGATCCCCACCATCGCCGCCCTCAGTTGTGGGCCCGTATCAGCATCAGCATCAGCACCAGGCGGGTTCCGGGTCGGGCTCCATATCAGGATCGGGTTCGGGCTCCAGTTCGGGCGCCGGATCCGTGGAGGAGTCCTCCGGCAAGCAGCAGCGGAGCAGCGATAAGGGATCCGCATCGGGATCATGCTCCAGTTCGCAGCGCATGACCCGCCTGGCCTTGTCCTCCAATATGCGGGCGAGTCGAAAGACGCCGCATTCACCGGGCGGAGGAGGAGGTGGTGGTGGTGGCGGTGGCAATGGAGGATCCGTTGGCGGCGGCGGTGGCAAGCGGCAATGGGGCTCGATGCCCGCAAATTTGGGCACCCAGTTCATCAATCCGGTGACGGGCAAAAAGCGAGTGCAGTGCAATGTCTGTCTGAAGACCTTCTGCGACAAGGGTGCTCTAAAGATTCACTTCTCGGCGGTGCATCTCAGGGAGATGCACAAGTGCACGGTGGACGGTTGCAGCATGATGTTCAGCTCGAGGCGATCGCGGAATCGCCATAGCGCCAATCCGAATCCCAAGCTCCACTCGCCGCATCTGCGACGCAAAATCTCGCCGCACGATGGACGCAGTGCGCAACCGCATCCGCTATTGCTCCAGGCGCCCAATGGTCTCATGGCGGGTCTGGCACCCTTCGGCAGCTTCCCGCTGCTGACGCCGCCACCAGATATGCGGCATCATGCGCTGGGCGGCTCGGGTGCGGCAGCAGGAGCTGGAGTCGGCGCCCTGGAGTTGAAGCACGGACAGGATTATCTGCAGAGATCCTACTTGGATGCCGGACGCTTCGAGGGTCAACGACGTAAGCTGGCGCTGGAGAACGAGCACACTGAGGATGAGGACGACGACGAGATATTGGAGGTAGGCTACATCTCATTCTTGGGGAAATCTATCTCACTTATGGTTTGGGTTAATAAATATTACACATCCGACATGTTGTCCATACAAGATGAAACCTAGTATATCTTTCAGATATTTTTACACATTTATACAATAACATTTTCCATTGTTCCTTTGCAGGTTGGCATCCACATGGCCGGCGACGACGAGGACGACGAGGCTGACGGCGACGAGGACGAAGATGACGATGATCCCGATGGCATCGTTGTGGTTGGCGACGAGATCGATAGCATGCCGCTGGACCACGAACACGATAATGAGAATGAGAACGACGAGAGCGACGAGCGCTCCACATCGGCGGTGTCCAGCCTGAGTCAAACCAAAGAGCAATCCAGTCCGGGCAAGGTTGTCCAGTCCGGCCTTGAGGAGTGCCACACATATGCCCACGCCCACGCCCACGCCCACGCCCACAGCCACGCCCACGCCCATACCCACGCCCACGGTCTCCCGCACGGCCACGCCCACTCGCTTGGGCACGCCCACGCCCTCGCCCAAATGGCGGCCAATAAACGGAAACGCAAGAGCCAGAATCCAGTCCGATGTCCTGTGCAATCGGATGAGAATTCGGGCGAGAATTCAATCGACTACGATGTGGCCGCCGATCTGTCCATTAAGAAGGTGCGTCTGCCCGCGCAGGCCGCCGCATCCGCCAAAGAATCGGAGGTGGGCGAGTCCACCAAGTCGATACCATCGCCACCCCTCACGCCCTACGGTGATCTCAGGCCGGTGGGTCTCTGCATTAAGACGGAACAGGATCAGGATGAGGATCAGGAGCATGATCAGGATCAGGAACTGGAGCAGGAGCCGGGTCAGCCACGGAAGCGGGCGCAGGAGCAGGAACCTGAACCAAATCCCGAAGTGTCGGCATCCAAACCGGAAATGAAACTGGAGGAGCAAGAAACGAGGCCAGCTGACAAGGAGGAGGACAACGAGGAAGAGGATCAGGAACAGGAACAGGAGTCGAGGCCGGTGGACACCACACTGGATCTATCACGGGCAGCGGCCGCCATCAAACTGGAGCCGCTGGACGAGATCAACTACGAGGCGGATGAGAACCGCTATGTGCGCATCAAGCAGGAGCTGATGGGCGGCGATGAGTCCCTGGCGGAGGAGTCCGGCGACAAGACTGCCAATCACAATAATAATAATAACAATAATAATAATATTACCAATAGTGTGCGCCGTGAAAGTGGCAACGGATTGAGTGCTAGTGAGCTCGAGGAGCGCGAACCGGAGCCGGAAACTGAAACAGAGCCCGAACCGGAAGCCGAACCGGAGCCGGAACCGGAAACGGAGGTGGAGGTGGAGGCGGAGGCGGAAGTGCCCGAGGTGCCCATCGATAAGGAGAACCCCCTAAAGTGCACCGCCTGCGGTGAGATATTCCAAAACCACTTTCATCTCAAGACGCACCACCAGAGCGTCCACCTCAAGCTGCACCACAAGTGCAATATAGATGGCTGCAATGCCGCGTTTCCCTCGAAACGCAGCCGCGATCGTCACAGCTCGAATCTCAATTTGCATCGCAAGCTGCTGTCGACCAGCGACGATCATGGACTACTCCATGCACCCGTGATGCCCGCAACGGATCCGCTCCTGGAGCTAATGAGTCTCAATTTGAATAATAACAAGAGCGGCTTCCATCACTCGGCGATGGTGGGCTCAGCGGCAGGCGGCGGCGGCGGTGGTGCTGGTGGTGCTGGTGGTGCTGGTGGTGGTGTTGTGAATCCAGCGGCGGTGGGCAGCATTCAGGCGGAGATCCTGGCGCGCATTTGCGCCGGTGCCCATGCACATGGACTGAATGTGCCGCTCTGCTTTGAGGCACTGCAGCATCGTTTCGCCGTTGGACATGGCCACGCTGGTTATCCGCTGATCGCCGGCGATGGCTCCCCACCCAGTCCCCGCCTATTTCTGAGCCACGGCAGCGGCGCGAGTCCGCTCCTCTTTGCCGGACTGCCGCGCATGCCGAGATTCCCCCAACTGACGCCGCACATGCTGGCCGCCAGTGCTGGCAATACCGCCGCCGTCGCCGGAATGGGCGGCCTCAGTCCCTTCTGTCGACGCACCTCCTCCGACTCAAATTCACAGCACTCGATAACGCCACCGCCGAAGAGATCCCGATCGCAGTCCAGGTCACCGGATCACTGTGCCCATCCGGCGCATGCCGGCGATACCACGGGCATCACCGAGGATTCGGGCCAGCGGCAGAGTCCCGATCGCATATCATGACCATGTACCTCGTACTATGCCAAGGCGTTGGCATTTTATCACTAGGAACCGCCCATGTCAAGCGGCGCACACACTTTGGAAGTCAGATATGCAGATACACGGATATGTGTATCTTGATCTATATATACACATATATATATGGAAAATGCATTGCTCATCGAGGAGCTCACATCGAGGATCGAAGATCGAAGATCGTCTGCCGCTCATAAATACGAAAATACTTCACTTAGGCTAATGCTAAAATAAAAATATTTAGATGGATCAACTAGCATTTTTTTTTCTATACATAAATATACATACAACATATATATATATATATATATATATAAATATATATACTATATATGAGTCCCTTTTTTTTGAAATTGTACTTATGAAAACTGATGTTTTGTGTACAAGTACGTCGTGTTGTAGAGAATTTATAAATGGCAAAGAAATAACAAGTACTAAATAAATAAATAACGATACATATTGTTAGTGATACTCGATTATGTAAGTTAAGTAGCCTCTAAGCAGCGCCTACTGGTATCGTGAGTAACGTTTTTTTTTTTTTATTGTAACTGAAATATTAAGTGTGTTGTATATGATATGACGATGGCAATGGAAATGCAAATTCAAATGCAAATAATATGAGTCAACCAACGACGAAACGCTTGATATGAGGAAACGAACATAATTTGATTACAGATTGCCGTTTACGAACTGGGTTGGGATCACTCATTGAAAGTCCTCGAGATCCGCAATCGAACATAATAAACAAAAAGAAAAAAAAGAATATGAACCGTTTTGTTGTTTTTTATTACAAACAAATCCTAAAGTAATTATGTAGTCGGTTAGTTAGTTCTGAAACAGTAACCAGACAAATACCTTCAACTCATATTTAAGCTATATATGTTTGCAATAAAATATCTGAAAAATTCTTAAATCTCTGTTTGTGTGTTGGGAATCGGAACTTCATTCAACATGTTGCATTTAGTAGTTCCAAAGCTGAAACAATGGATATTTCATCGTGCCTTCTCCAAATTTTAGGACTGAGTTTCAACACTTAATGGATTTTTGTATACATTCCCAGTTTTTATGCACTCGCATTTTCCAGAATTTGGCAATCAGATTTTTCCGATTGATTGCTTCGTGATTCTATGAATTATTATGTTTTAGATACTTCTTTTTTGGGAGACATTGTGAGATTGCGAGATATATTCATACCAAGAACCCATCCTTGAAAGTGTTTTGAAATTTCCCCATGAACTGCAAGTTTCCCGATGTTCTGAGCATAGTTTCAAATATTGAGTGGTTTTTTTGACAGTGCGTCACTGTCTAAACACATGCAAAGTTGCACACATGTATCTTCTGAATAATGTAATGTGCATTCAAGCCGTAAATTTGGCACACAAACGAATTGCACAGGAAAAAGGCAAATTCGCATGAACTTGAGCGCTGTGCAGCGATAGTTTTGCGGAAGAAGAATTGCAAATTGTTGATAACAATTAGGATTGCAGATAGCTACAATGCATGAAGGTGGAAGTTCGGCGCTTTTCCTTTTTCCACACGAAAAAGGGGTTGCTTCCAGCAAGCCGTTTAATTTTAGATCGATTAGGGGAAGCTCGTAAATTTTGCTGTCCTGGCTGCGAGGGCGTTAGTGTCCAAATAAATAAATGCAGTAGATACGATACTGCAGACTGCAGTCCGGGTTTGCAGGAAGGTGTGGGCTCGCTGCTCTCCTATGTGGATAGGTACATATGTGCAGACACATGGCACATGGGTGCCATCCCATCCGCGTCCATGTGTGTGGTTGGCCATGTCGCACCCGGCAAGCCCACCAACCCCGGGCTGAACACATTGGCATACTGGTACCAGTAACACCATCCAGCCATCGCCATCGCCATCGCCATTGGCATCGGCATCGGCACGGCCATATAGCCATATCGCCATATAGCCATATAGCCACAGCCATATAGCCACATTTCAATGACCTCCCCCTGGCGGGGACAGCAAAGGAGAGGTTTTGTGTCTAGAAAATAGCAGAGCCGAGCCGAACCGAGCCGAGCCTCCGGTGCGGTGCAATTTATTTAAAGTAACATTTTAGTGTTTCCTTCCGCTGAAATCCGCTCTCTTCCTTCCTGTTTGGCAGGACTCGTACTCGTACTCGTACTCGGCTTGGGTCCTTGTCTGTGCCACTGAGTGTGCTCCAGCCCACCTCGACTCCAACTCCAACTCAAACTCCAGCTCCTAGTCCTGCAGTTGGCTGTCCCGGCTATCCCGGCTGTCCCGGCTATCCTGGCTATCCCGTTGGCCCTTGGCGCCCCAGTCTCGCGTCCTGCGAGGAAAACAACAGATTGTGGGTAAATAAAATTGCCACAATGTTATCGTTCAGCCCGCAGCGAACACGCAGCAAACAAGCAGCAAACACACGGGGCACGAATGTGTTCCTTTTAAATGCTTCTCAGCCTTTTAAACTTTGCCTAATCTCTCTGTCAATACGCATATTTAAGATAATTGCAATGTCCTGCCTAACAGCATTGTTTATAATCTACATATACTATTGCTCCCAACTGACGTTAATATAAATGAATTCGAATTGTCAGCCCGTGCAGTGCTATTTTATTATCTGTTACTCAGCAATTTAGTTGAAAGGTGTACTTAGAGCATGGATTTCTATAAATCCCACTGATATGCACTGATATACCTAACGCAGGCAGATTCTCTTGCTCCACAACCACCAAACTCCTTGGAAACTGTCCAAATGCTCTGGCGCAGCAAGTTCATCCGTGGTCATATGCCTCACTTGCAGATACCGACTTCGCTCGCTTTTTACGGTCAGTGCTTTTTTAAGTGCACCTGTCGTGGAGTGAACGTTAACCCGGCTCTAATTCACATTCAAAGAGCCCAAAGACGCAGCAGCAGCCCAGGGTTCTCGTAAACGAGCAGTGTCATCATCGGCATCATAGGCATCTTGTGGCCGGCTGCCACGACTCCCAATCGTAATTTAATGCTGGCGGTCAATAGCATTACTGCTGCTGCTGCTGCTGCTGCTGCTGCTGCAACTACTAAAAACTGCAACAACAAATGGCTTATGAACAACAACAACGACCGCACACACAAAAAAGCTAATCTGATAATACAGAATTGAAAGGGGCGGTCACGGCACGAATTTCGCTACACGCTCTCGATACGATGGCAGTTCTCCGCCGCCCCAACATCCAACTTCCAACATCCAACATCCCAACTGAAGTCCAGCGATTGACGTTGGCAGCATCGTCAACCGATTCTCCCATATTGGTATAGTATGGAATGGTGTTGTATGGCATAGCAAAGTGCGCCGCATGCGGCTCAAACAGAAGGGATCGCTGGTCAGACGGCGAAATTGCCTTTGGCCGGGGCTAAAGTTGGACCCAACAACTCCACGGATGCAGTGTACCTGTGTGATAGAAGGTTGGCTCAGAAGCACAAGAAATACAAAACAAAAATACGAAACAAAAAGCACAAAAGCACAAAAAAGAAGAAACTGCAGCAACACCAATAGTCCTTATAATCTTCTGCGAGATTGATGGCATGGGACCAGATGTCAATAATTCAGGGCAATGGCGGTAGTTTGCTGCATCCAGTGGAGTAGTTTTGGCCAATCTGAGGCGCAGATCGGCGAAGAAATAGGAAAAATAAGCGTAAACTTGATTTCAAGTGGAGAAAGCATGTCAAATTCCTTGCGTATAAATTATTTGGCGGTGTTTAGATGCCTCAAAATATTTGCAAGCTAGCCATAGATTTAAATGGCTAAATCAGCTAAATAATATATAGAATGCAAGGCTAATAATCGATTTAAGTGATCTGCAATTTGCGATTTCTTGACCCGGCAAAGCGAGATTTCCGCCCTTTTGCCCCGGGAATCGCCTCTGCCGCGGGTCAATCTGGCCCAAAACGAAACTAGCAGTGGAGCGCGGAAAGGGATTAAAAAATCTGCTCGGCTCAATTATAAAAATTCATCCCAATCTCAATTCCCGCGAATCGCCGTCGCCGTCGCCGTCGTTCCAAGCTCGTATTATTGCCGTTCTGGTCTCACATCTTGTGATCCCGATTCACTCTGCGTTTTGCTGTGGTCATTCGTCATTTAAGGTTCGCTCAGTCACACACACAGCGTCCGGTTTCCCAATCCCAATCTCGGAGATCCCAAGACCATAATCTTCCTGGGCCCGGCAGAGATGCAGGGCTCCAGGGCTCCAGGGCTCCAGGTCCCCAGTCATTGACACTGATATGTGTGGCTTGTGAAATGACAATCAGCAATTTGCTATTCGGAACCGTTTAAAGTAATTTATTTTCCCGGCCAGGACGAGTTTCGCGCGGCGCGAAGCTGGCTGTACATCACCAATGTGCGGGCTACTCTCAGATTCGAATCCGAGTTTAAATCTCAGGCAGATTTAATACGCAGCATAGATACCAATGGTCTGGGGCATTGACAAAGGATTTCGTTGTTAACAAGAAGAGGGCACAACTTTCGTTTAATTAATGACCTCACTACTTTTGCCGTCTCGCAAATCAATCGCCAAGTCTGCGTAGCATTTGATTACACTCCAAAAAAGTGGGCAGTCTTACATACAAGCGTAAGTTTGATAGGTATATGTGGTATATAGATACTATGCTCTCTGCAACATATGCCAAACTTGTTTAACAGTGTACGCACAAAGGATTACAGCAGCAACATTCCGTTATGGTAAATTGACTTCGTGAATATTTTATGGCCGCAAAAGAGACGAAATAGTGTACTCCAGCACCCACATATTCGATTTCCGTCCGGACCTCCAATCACCCAGCACTGACCACCCCACCAGTGATTGACCCAACTAGTGGGTGGCCAATGGGCCACCATATGTATATGTCAACCCCTTTTCGAGTTGTCCACTGTGGTTCTGGCTGTCCGAGCAAGAATCCCGTGTCTTGGGCACATCTCATAAATAATGCAGTCAATTAGGCCAAGCGAATGTGTTGCGCACACCCTTGGCCAAGTTGATTGGAATGGGCTGGATGAGGAGTTGACTTAATAGTGAATAGTATCGTTAATAATGGTAATAGAACTGGCCTGAAAAAGGTAGCATGGTATAAAAGGCCAAAGCCGAGCAGGAAAATCTCATTCCGCTCTCAAAGTTGTGAACCTTTAAGAACCTGCCATGATTTGCTGCTTAAAGCTAGAACCTAAATGCCCTAATATTACTCATCCGCCTTGTTGGTCATAGACAAAAAGCCAAAAAACAGCATTTTGTGTTAAAACATT